GCACATCGAAAATCAGTCCGTCTTGTGATTCACCTTTTGCAGATTGGAACATCGAAAATCCATCGAAACGGCATTTCAGATTTCACGTTTCGAAGATCGAGCGCAACAGCATTTACAAGGAAATTGGAAAAATCTGCTGAAAGCAGGTTGTTGATTATGGTACACGGCACCGTGCATGAAAACAAGACGCTGCAGAAAAAAAACAAATGCAGAACCAAACACTTAGGAAGATAAAGCGCGGAGAAAATTCAAAAAAACGAGTTCTGTTGACGTCTTCGGGCCTGGCTCCGGGCCGACAAGCAACGTTAGATGAACTACAGGATCGTAAACTGTGCCCACGATTTCCTGCCGAATTCCAAACGAAGTCCTGCACCATCAACCACGCCCCACAACGCAGCTCGACAAAGGTCATTTCCTGAGCGCCAGGCCCGGCAGGCATGCGACACGAGCACGTGCGCGTGATCATCTAGGACGACAACCTCTTTGTCTTGTTCGCTCACTTCTCCCAGGCTTTCGCCCGAGCCGAGAAACCACCGGAAGATTGCGTCCGGGCAGCATGACTGCACTAAAGAAAGCAGCCCGCCGCACATGGTCAAATGCCCCAATGCCACCCAAACTCGGGACAACTGCATTGGGGTCTGCACCTGTGATGCACTGCAGGACGTGGGCAACTGCTTCGGAACCGGCCTGGCTCTGGAGAATGTTGGCACGGGAACGTAGCCGCCATAAAATTGTCATTCACCACCGCCTTGCAAATTGATCTTGTGATCACAGATCCCGCGACGATGCCTCTGACTTTCCAAAATTTTCTCACGAAAAACCCACCCACGAAAGACCCGCCGGCAGGGACATTTGTTGCCACTGACTCGCCGATAAAGCCCCAGAAAAGATTGGCGTGGTCATCTTACGTACGCCTTTCGGGACGGACACGTTCGTTCGAACGCATGCCGAAGAACGCCTCCGAACGGAACGGCGGCTTCTTGGCAGAATCTGTCAGATAGCAGATGTACGATGTGCTTGGATAATGCTGGCCATGTCAGCGGTAACACGTGCCAACCACATGGCAAGAATTTTACCGCCAACCACGTCCAGGGACTACATGGATTGCCACGACAATGCGATCTGGGAGTGTTCTTGTAACATGTTCGGTGTCGGTGCGCTGAAGTATGACAGACTCGCACGTCAAATAGCTACCTTACCAGGTCGATTGGGAGGTTTGGGTCTCCGGTCAGCTACGAGATCAGCCCTCGGGATTTTCTGGGCGTCTTGGGTCAGCGCCTTCCCGATCATCCGGGCCAAAGCTCCGCCTGTCGCAGCCGCCACTCCAGGAACTCATCCACGAAAGTGGGCCTACGGCGAATGTCTTGCGAGAGTTGGCGGCCAGCAAATGGCAGCTGGAGCAGGAGGGAGATGGGGAACTCCCGCCGCGGCGGGAAGTTGCTAAGGGAGCAGAGCCCATACCAGCAGACAGACACGCAAACGCAGCAGGTCTTGTCCATGGCTGGAAGTGCCATGCCTGTTCCTCTCAGAGTGCGCTGATTCTCAACGTGCCATGCTCCTATCGCAATCGGGAGGGGCAGCGGAGGCCTTCCTTCGGGCGGCTCCTTCAGAAACGGCTCTCATCATAAGCCCACCTCGATTTCAGGTCGATCCGCCGCCGTCTTCGGTGGGCGCTGCCGCCTACAAGTGGAAGATGTGCCAAGCAATGCGCATGCACGTTGGATGCCTTAGGAGACCATGCAGCAGCTTACCCCCGAAGCGGGCGCCTCAAACTACGGTCGCTGCCTCTTGAAATGATCTGGAAGAGAATCTTCAGGGAAGCGGGAGCCCGGGTCCGCGACGACGCGTTGCTGGCGAACACGGGGCTCCAAGGCATCGACCCCGCCGACGGCCAGAAGATCGAGATCGTGGCGACGGGACTGCCTATCCAAAATGGGATTCCAATGGGAGTGGACGTAACGATGGTGTCACCACTCCACGCGAACGGCACCCCGTTCCCAGAAGCTGGGACAACAACGAGCAGCACGTTCAAAAGAGCCGTCAAGAGAAACTTCGACACCTACCCAGAAACGGTGGACAGCCGTCTCTTACGACTCTTGGCGATCGTTGTGGAGAGATGGGAGGGCGTATAAACCACGCAACCCTGCAGCTCTCAGACCGAGCAGCTACCGCCAAAGCTCGCACTGCTCCGGGCCCCTTGCGAGCGTCGATGGCAAGAGCATGGCGGGCAAGGTGGGTCACCATGGCCTCCATTGCGGCACAGGACGCCCTGGCGGCGACCCTCGTCCAAGATGGGGAGCAACAGCTGGATGGGGCAGACGGTTCTGAGCCGCTCGCAGTGCAAGCATGGATCGACGGGGACACTGAGGTCCCCTCCTCCTCCCCCATCCGCCTCTCGCTCTGCCCAAGCGCCCGCTGCTTCGCCGAAGGCGATTGTCGCGCTCAGTTGAGGCCTAGATCGTGGTGATGTTCGATGTGGAGGTTTTCAGGTAGAATGAAAAAATGTGGGTGCAACGACGCTTGGGCATCATTGTATGATTTGGTCACTGTTCTGGGTATTACTGGTATTCACGGGCACGCGAGACTCAACAATAGTAGAAGCGGGCAATGGTACGGACGGCATTCTGGATTAGTTAACGGATTGGCGTCAAGTGTTGCGGGAAGCTGGAGCGTTGGTACCAGACCGCAATGTGGAATGTGTGCTCCGAGACACGCAGATTCCTGTCCATGGGAACGACAACCGACGTGTCCATGAGAACGACAAAAGACTGATGCGGCGGGCTTAAACAGTGCTACTTCTACTGTCTTGCACGATCTGGGGCAAGCAACCTGCGAGGCCGGCTATTGCAAGACATCGAGGCTGGAAACAATCGCGCATACAAGGAAGTCTCGGAGAGCGGACTGGGGGACCCCACGAACCCGGCGAGGAGTAGCTCTAGGGCTAATGCACCATCGGTGGGGTTTGCATAGGTTGGCCTTGCAAAACACTGCGACATTTGCCGTGCTCAATGAGCATAGTGATATCCGTGAGCCCCCCCTTGAAGCACTGCCCCCGCTTGACGAGTTGGAGGTGGGGTGGCTGCTCCTCCTCCTCTCGTGCTGCTATGTTTCCCTATTTGGGAATATTCCTCCTGCAGAGGGTAAGCATATTCATGGAGAACGGCATGCGCCGCAGCGCGCTGCAGTGCGACCCAGAGTATCCCCACCATCGGCGCTGCAGTCCCACAGCATGGCCTCGCCGAACACGGGGGCGGTCATTTTCGGTGCACGCTCAGGCCAAGTCTGGCACCAGTTTGATCGATCGTTGTCCCCATAGCCCATGCACTTCAGCTCCCAATCAGTGGAGAGGCCCCTACCCACTCGCAATAATTGCCTCGCACGTCTTGTTGTTGTATTAGATCTAGTTCTAGATGCAGTACAAGGACACAGATGGTCAACAAACAATGCTCCAATGGTTTGGGCTGCGGACGGGAATGACGATGGCCCGCCTTTGCTCCAGTGGTTATCGCATTCTCTGGATTATTGCTCCCGCGCCCCCCTGGAAATGTCGAGGCCCCATCTGGCCCCATCTGCGAATTTCGAGCCTTGCCGGGGGGCTTCGGTCCTTCGGCATCGCTGCCTCCATTGACCTTGGATCTTGGTTGCATAGCGAAGGCTACGACGAACCATTTCTGCAGAGATACTTCAGGGAGGAGGCCCAAGATCACATTATAGGAAGAGCTGTTGGATGGTCAGCAGGTTACACGCACTTGGACAACACATACGCTGCGATTACGATGTACATTCAATTCCTATCGGAATCAGCGGCAAGACTCTCGGCAGGACCAATCAGTTTTCAGCAAGCCCCAGTAATTGATGGGGCACCTCGAAATCGCGCCCCACTGCCAACGTCGTAGTTCCAGGGATTGCACGTTCACCCGACGGACGGCACGACCTTGAGCGATCGACCCAAACACCGAAGTATAGCGACGAACGCGAACAGTGGAAGGTGTTCCGACATGCATCCGGGGGCCGTTTTTCCCAAAGCCTAAATGGTGTCGCCCGCATGCGCCCCCGCCAATCATCTCGGCACAGCCCTCACAACCTCCACCCCAAACTGTGCCGTCCGCATGCGTCCTCGCCAGGGGAGAGGTGGATGCGAAGCGGGGAAGGCCGAGGAGAGTGGAAAGGCCAAAGATCGCGCTTCGTGCGGCGCTCGCCATCTACCCATTTGGCAAACTTGACCTTGCGAGTGGTCTCCCCATATGCTACCTCTCTCGGTTTTGGTCTATACACGGCCGTGTGATGGCAGCCGGAAATTACGGCCCAAAGATGCCCTGGCACCGAAGCGGGAGCAGGGGGCGACTCGAAAAACACCGAATGCGGCACTGGGCGGTGTCGTCTTGCCGCTCTGAAAAAAAACGCTTGGTTAGGGGCTGATTCAGCTCGCGGCCCTGGTCAAGTGTCAGACTGGGGAAAGAACCTCGCGGAGAAAATTCGATTTCGCACAGAGGATTGTAATGAAAACATTTCTTAGAAAGGCCGCGGCTTATGTGCAAAATCTATTCCAAGGGATGTGTGGATGATTTGTTCTTTCTTTCCCTCCCCCTCCACCTTCCCTCCGAATTATCCTATCTCCTCCCCTCCCGCTCCCCCACCCCCTGCAACCAATGCTCGTCTCCCGCGTTGACGCCTGATAAATGGAATGAAATTCAACACGCCTGGCTTGCAGATCCGCCTCACCCCCGCCACCCCGCCCGCATCCTCCGCCCTACTACACCATGCGAAATGCTTAAGAAATCATGGGTTAAGAAATTCATAGTCTCAGAACTTGAACAAAAACCCAAGATGTCTATCAAGATCTTAAGATGTACATTGAAACGTTAAGAATAATCGAGACTCTTGCCGAAAACTTCAGTTTTCTTAAGCATCGCCTGAGGTGTATGAAGAATCCGGGCTTTTCCTAGCTTTGTGGCTAAGCGCCAAACCCAAGTGATCCACACAGCGAGCCCGTGGGCTCC